CTGTTACGGTTTAACAAAATGGTACTCAAATTCAGACAAGGCTGAGAGGGATGACAGACACAGATAATAGTTTAAGTGATTTTATTTACAGTGCAGGAAAAGGGGGTTCGGGGTTCCTGGAAGGCAAAGTGCAGAGTATTAGCAGGGAGGCTTTGACGAGATGAATATTCAGAATTGAAGTTGAGTTTTTCTTTCTTACAGGATGACGACGAGGAGGCAGACTCAAGGAGGAGGAAGTCCAACAGGTAAGAAAGTCCACTTGAAAATGAAGATACCTTGAAGGGTTCTTGATGGGGGTTGTAGTAGAGGTGGAGTGGCAGGTTGGAGAACAGAGCTTCTAGAGGAGTCCAGTACAAAGGAGGTTCGTCAGGTTTTAGAAACTCCAGGAGTGTCCGAAGCTTGCCTTGAAATCAAAGAAGAACACGAGTTGAATAATTCAGAATTCTCAAGGAAAGGTACTAAAATGGCTGTCTCACAATACCCCAAGGTGAACAATGATTCAGCGAAGACTGGAACCTCCACACAGGCTTAAATAGTGGCTGGACTCGTCAGCCAGATGGGAAACAGGTGGCAACCCAGGAGCTCCGTCTCACTAATCAGCATCTGCAAGGTGAGTTCTCCCACACCCACACACACGCACACACACAACCCCAATAGGGACGAAAAAAAAAACTTATTTTCCTCTCCATTGGGAACTCTGGAAACCATGTTTTTCGTCAGAAATTCCTGAACTTCTGACTGGAAAGACGAGCTCTGTTCTGGAGAAGACAGAACTGTCTCTATAATCCCTCTGAAAGATGGGGGTTGAGCTGCGAACTGCAGTGTGTAACCCCTTCTGATCAGACGGTCCGTCCATCTGTCCAGAGAACACACTCGCTGCCACTCTGAGTAACGCTCGGAGAGCATGCACGCATTTGTGTTGTGTCATGTTTCTCATGAACCAGACTAAAAATCCTTACTGCCATCACTCGCTCCGGAGATTCTCCGGGGGGAACCCAAGGAGGGCTCTGACAGAAAAAAGAGGTTGTATGTGTGCCTCCGTGCTGAGCCCAGGCTGTGGTCTCACATAGAACTGAGGTGAGCTGGTGCGCACTGCGATGAGGCGTGAGCGCTTTCTGAGTTTTGGTGGAGGCTGTAGCTGTTGTGGAGAAAACATGTTTACTCCCACTGCGCTGTGAGTGGGCAGAAAACAGCAGAAATTAAAAACGGGCTCTGGCTGAAAAACGAGGGATTTTACCGGACTCGGTCTGCTGAAAAAAACATAATTTTAGCTGACATGGCAGACGAGTGTTTGTGATATTTAGTGAACTGCAGTGCCATTTAAAATGCTGTTTAGAGGTTACTGGCTCATTCTGTGTGGGGAATGTGTGAAGAGAGCCAGCTGTGAGATCAGCTGATCTCACAGTTTCAGATGAAAACTTTACTTTCAGAGGTGTTTCTGTTTTATATCAAAAACATACATCATCAAAAAACACATACCTTCCCCTCAAGGATCTGTTACCTGGTGGAGGGGGCCGGCGGAGGAGCAGGGCGTGAAGCCGCTGCCGCAGCTGTGGATCGCCTCTGCTGCTGTTGCTGGCCAAGGTGGTCCCTTCAGCGGCCGGAGGGGTGAGAGGAGGACTGTGACGTCACCAGATCATCTCTGAGACCCCCTCGGACCTCTGCAATTTCACAGGGATGGTCCTGAACTTGGCCCCGAACAGCGCCTCTGGGGTGATGGGGCCCTCCAGCAGGTCTTTCTGCAGCCTCTCGGACAAGGATGGTGAGAGGCGGAGCCAAGTGGTCCTCTGGATCATGGTCATCCAGGCGGCGATGCGGGACATGTAGACAACAGAGGTGGTACATGTTTAAGATGACATCAGCAGCTTTACAGAGAGAGCTCTTTGTCTCTTCCTGCAGGTCTGCTTCCTTCAGCCTCTTAGAGATGCTGTAGGCCAGCAGGGCGACGTTGTTGTTTGCTGCGGCCATCTGGAATGAGCACTAGTGAGCTTGGTTGGAGACCTTGTCACCATCTGGTCATGCTTCCCTGAAGGGACAGGTTGCTGGTCCATCCTAGAAGCTTTTGCCCCAAGTGCCACCTCCAGGCTTGGCTCCGGGGGTGGGGACCGAGGGAAAAACACCGTTCGGTAAAACCCTCCACTCTGGAGATGGAGGCAAAGGTAGAGACAGATGGCTTCAGCTTGCCGGGCCCAGCTGCAGCCTCGTTCCAGTGTGACGTCACAGCTGGACAGCGAGGCCAGATGGGGTCAGGGCGACGAGCCGGCGTGGAGCCAATCTTGCCGCCAGATCATCCAATCAGGGCGGAGGGAGGTGAGGGACAGAAATTTTCTTGTGTTAACAGCCTCCTGGATTATACCGGGCAGCTCCGAGAGGAATGCGCCAATGGCTGGGAGCGGTGTGGTGCCGAAGTGTGAAGATCCGAGGTGGCTGAGCATCCGCTCGGCCGCTCGTCTTCCGTCACTGCGCTCCCCAGGAGGGAGGAGGCAGCTCTGCATCGTCTTTCTAGGAGGAATCATTCGATTCACTGCTTGACTGTGTCAAAGAAGGTAGTGGCGTCGTCCCGCGTATAGCATCCCACCACAGAATAAAACACTCTGTGGAGCTGTTGCACACAATGCCTTTTTCGAGGAAATCATCCGATTCACCTCGAGAAAAAACACATTACAAAAGGCGGTGGTGTCGTCCAGCAAGTAGCGGCCCTCCACGGAAAAACATTGCGAGGCTGCTGCTAACATCACCTTTTTCAAGGAAATCATTTGATTACTGCAAGGAAAAAAACGTTAGAAACGGCAATGGCGTCGTCCAGCGGGTAGCTACCTGCCACGGAAAAGCACTCCTCGGCGCTTACCATGACAATGCTGCTTGTCTCTGCTTCTCCTCAAGGAGGAAGAGTTCACCGGGACGGCAGGAGGTTGGCATGGCAGAGACCCGGGCATCCTTAGCAAAGGTTGTGCCGGTCAAAGCTGGACAACTTTTCCTTCTTCGTTCTTCTGTCAGTGCTAGCTAGCTGGCTGAAAAATAAATGGAGCTGATTACCCGGTCTCACCGTAATTTTTACGGACCGGGGATGAGGCCCACACAGTAGGTGGGCGTGGACTAAAGTTTTCAGTGCTGCACTGCGCGCATAGGGATTAACCCACTAGCAATAGCCTTAAAGGGCGAAGCCTATACGAAATAGAACTGGACATTTTACATTAAAACCTTTGTTCAAATGAGCAAAGGCTAAAATTAGTGAGTCAAAAATATAAACGCTAAGACCAGCCATGTGGTAATTAAATGTTAAAACCAGGAAAAATGGACTAAAAGCAAAAATTAGCAAAACAGTAGCTAAATGCTAAAACTAAACATGAGACATCATCCTTACGCCTCCTTACATCTCTATGCTGATGATACAGTAGTTTATTGTCGAGCTAAAATGGTTGCTAAGGTTTTCCAGCTTTTACAGTCTGCATTTGACATCATCCAGTCAGATTTGTTTAATCTTAAACTGGTGCTAAATGCTAACAAAACTAAAGGAAAGTTGTTTTCAAACAGAAAGTTGGTGCCAGCAGTCCATTCTTTCTATCTTATCTACGAATGGTGTTCCTATTGAGTTTGTTGATGCTTACAAATACTTAGGTATCTTGGTCGATGCACATCTCTCATTCAAGCCTCATGTTGAAAACTTGATAAAGAAGCTGAAAGTAAAACTGGGTTTCTTTTTCAGAAATAGATCTTGTCTAACTCTGAATGCCAGCAAAGGCCTTTTAGCAGCTATTTTACTTCTGGCCATTGACTCTGGTGACATTACTTACATGAATGTCCCTACAAACACTTTGTAGATGTTGGATGCTGTCAATCATGGCACGCTAAGATTCATAACTGGCTGTAACTATCGTACCCATCACTTCACCTTGTATTCACTGGTCACTTGATTATCATTATTAATGTAGGCTCTCCCACTGGTACATTTTCATCTTTAAATCACTTCTTGATCTCTTGCCTTCATACATCTCCTCCTACCTGTTACGTCATCAGTGCAGCTACAGCGTGCACTCTCAAGATATCATCACATGCAGTGTCCCCTCAGTGCAGACTGAGCATGGCAAAAAAGGGCCTTCTCTTACTCCGCTCCTGTATCCTGGAACACCTTGCAAAAAGATCTTAAGCTGTCCACTATGATTTCTTTAAGGGATTTTAAACAATTGTTAAGGTCAATAGAAAAAGCTAGGCAAATATGTTCTTGTTTTCAGTATTTTACCTTGTTTTATAAGGCGCCTTGATTTTATTGTTTTATAACACTACTTTTATTTTAATTGGGGACTGCCTAGAAAGGCAGTATTATCCACCTTAAAAGGTTCTTATTTTTCCTTCCACGTTAATGTGGTCCAAACCTCAATGTATACCCCACACAAATGTTATATCAAAACGACCGGCTCGGCACCGTGATGTATGACTTCTATTGGCATTTTGAGTTACCTTGGCAATGTAATTTGTAAAGAAAGATGCTGTTTTTCTCATTGACAGTACTCTTTACAGTTAAAAGAGTTTTAAAAATGGACAGTGAAGGGGCTTTTCTGATGAAAAGAGGGAGATTGTTTCACAGTCTTGGAGCGGCAACAGAAAAATCTTTGTCCCCTCTGAGCCTCCATTTGGACCTCGGCACCTCCAGGAGCAGCTAATCAGCTCATCTGATGTGCCGAGTATGGGTGAAGCAGCTCAGACATGTAGGATGGAGCAAGACCATTTAAACTTTTAAAAACAAATAAAATAATCTTAATTTTAAAAAGATATTGAACTGAAATTTGGTGTGATGGTACCTGTACCTGCAATGCACAACATATTCTAAATTCAAATCTAAAAATTAAAGATGGCTGCTGAAGCTAATTTCAAATAGATTTAACAGCTGTTTAGCTCAATTTGGTGTATTGGTAGCTAAGCTTCATAGACTCTGATTGAAAATCAAAAATCCAAGAAGGCTATCATAGCTTAAAATAAAAAAATGACTATAACTCATTGATTTGTTGCTATATTGAGCTGATTTTTTTGTGGTGGTAGCAAGAACACAGTACTGTCAAATCCAAATTTTTAAAATGGCCGTAATGGCCTAACCCTAAACCTAACCCTAACCCAGTCCCCGTCAAAGTTTCTACATGAACTTTCTAGTGGCATTTTATTTTTGTTTATACTGTTTATTGTTGTTTATATTGTTGTTTGTACTGTTTGTACTTTATATGTTGTCTGATTAAATCAGGTCTCTCTTGAAAAAGAGTCCTCGTGACCCAGTGAGACTAACCTGTATAAATAAAGTTTGAATGAATGAATCATGTACAAGCTTTGACCAAAACTAACATAATCTTTCATTCCTCATCAGGAGGAACTTGGTCTATATTAGGCTTGAACTACATGTACATTTAACTGTGTGTGCTGCTATTGAACATTAAAGGCTAAGTAGTAAGACTGTTAATTGTTTTTAATAAAGAAGACAAACACATCTAATACTGGACATGTTTCTGATTCGAGATGGTCTCATTTTTCCAGAGAGGGCTTCTGCCAATGGCCTTCCTTGAACTGGCTAATGCCAAGGCACCCAAAGGCAAAAACGACAATGTAATGTATTTGCCCACCTTCTAAATGTTCATTGGTATTTGGTCAACATGTTTTGTGATTTTCTTTCAAGGAAACCGAAATGAAGGTTTAAATCTGAATGGTACCGCTGGGTGTTCATGGGATGGTGGTTGAACACCCAGCGGTACCAGACTCTAGTTTCCTACAGAGAAAGACACTCAATGAGTTTTGGATAAGTTCTTGAATAAGTTCTTGTTCTTGTCTTGGCATTCTCAATGAGTATGGATAAGTTTTGGATCAGTCTTTTTCATTCTGGCCTTGGTTTCTTCCACAGAGAGTTCCCAGTGGAATCCCCCTCCCACCAGAACTCAAGCCGCCCACACGCCCACAAGCTCGACCCAAACCAGCGGCTCCTCCTCGAGGTAAAAACCCAAATTACAATCTTCCTGGTCTGGGGCCTGTTCACCTCATACTGTATATGAACAGTGCCTACACACAGAATGGTTATATGTGCAATGTTTCAAACACATGTAAAAACAAACATTTTTTTGAAACGGTGTGTAAATGCAAACTGTTGACACCAAACTTTCAGTCAACAGTATCAAACTACAAAGTACTGAAACTCTTCAAAATACTTTGTACACCAAAGTAGGACTCCATTTGGATTTATGAACTCGTTCAACACATTTTCTCATGAGTTGGAGCATTTATGGTTTAAACAAACAAACAAACAATGAACCTTAAGATTCAGGATTCAAGTTTTTTTTTAAACAAAGACTTTTTATTGATTTTTGAACATACAAACAAAAAGGTGAGTTCAAAGAACAAAAAAGAAAAAACTCCCACCCCTCCCCTCAAACACCGGAACAATTTTACTCACACAAATAAACTAAACAAGTATTGACAACTTTTCTACATACAGTACAACTTAAAAGGCTGCCAAGTGTCCCAAAATCTTTTTACAGACCCCTTCAGGGTACATCTGATTTTTTAGAGACTTCTCTTGTCCAATGAACATATGTTGGGTGTTGCACAAGACAAGTCTTCTGGCCAGAAGAGAGCCAAAAGCTATCACATCCAAGTACAAACTTGCTGAAGGACATATCCACAGAGATCTACCCTGAACAGTGAGATGAATGGTGATATGATGGGTGCACATTTCTCCCACAGATCTGAGAGGAGGTGACAAAAATAGATTGACAAATGGTCTGCAGTTTGGGACAGGTCCAGAAATTATGCAGGAGTGTAGCTGGAGTTTGTTTACAATGATTACATGCATGGTCCAGGTCGGCTTTGATTTTGGACTGCTTGTCTTTGGACCAGTGCAGCCAGTGCACTACCTTGAATTGAATTAAAGCATGTAAGAAAGATTGAGGATAAGTAAATTGTACTTAATGATCCAACAAAGTTCAGTCAGATCATGTGGATGGTTTCAGTTTTTGCTTAGACGTTTCGTCCTTCATCTGAAGGACTTCATCAGTCCGAGGAGCCACACACAAACAAACTCGGTCCCACAAGCAGCACACTCCAATAGTGAACCAACCAATTTGCTGGTTATATGATGGTTTCTGGGTCCTGCCCTTATCCCCGTCTACTCCTCCTAGGCAGCCATAGCCAAAGGGTTCAAAATGTTCATGCTCAATAATCCGGGTAGAAAATCCAACTACCATCATATCCAAGTCAAGTCAAAGTCAAAGTCACTTTATTGTCAAAAGCTGCAATATGTACAGGACATACACAGGATTGAAATTACATTTCTCACAGACCCCGGTGCAACAATAACCATCCATCCATCCATCCATCCATTTTCTTTACCGGCTTATTCCATTTTTGGGTCACGGGGGTTGCTGGTGCCCATGTCCAGCAATCACTGTGCGAGGGGCAGGGTACACCCTGGAAGGGTTGCAAGTCCATCACAGGGCCACATAGAGACAAACGAGACAAACAACCATTCACTCTCTCACTCACACCTAGGGACAATTTAGAGTTACCAATCAGCCTAACATGCATGTTTTTGGACTGTGGGAGGAAACCGGAGCACCCAGAGAAAACCCACGCATGCACGGAGAGAACATGAAAACTCCACCCAGAAAGGCCCCTGGACCGGGGTTTGAACAAAGGACCTGCTCGCTGAGAGGCAGCAGCTCTACCAGTTGCACCACCGTGCTGCCCTGCAACAATAACCATTTAACATTAAAACATGTATTAAACATAAGCATAAAATGAAATAATAAAAGCATGATACTGTCAAATTGTACTATACGGTATAAAAATATTTAAAAAAGTACATCTATAAAATAAAATGAAATGAAGGTCCTGACATTGATATTTGTAGTGAGGGGCAAAGCAGCATATGAAGTGAATGTACACAGTGTATGTATGAAGTCCTTGATATTGGTGTAGGTAAAGTGACATATGCAATAAGACTAGTAAAAAATATATATTTGTATATCAGCGGTAGTGTAATATAAGCAGCAGTGTGAGTATAAACAGTAATGCAAATGTAAACAGTAGTGCGAATGTAAACAGTAGTATGAATATAAACAGTAGTGCAAATGTAAACAGTAGTGCAAATGTAAACAGTAGTGTGAATATGAACAGCGGTATGAATATAAACAGTAGTATGAATATGAACAATGGTATGAATATGAACAGTAGTTTGAATATGAACAATAATATGAATATAAACAGTAGTTGGAATATAAACAGTAGTTTGAATATGAATATGAACAGTAGTTTGAATATTAACAGTAGTGCAAATGTAAACAGTAGTGTGAATGTAAACAGTAGTATGAATATGAACAGTGGTATGAATATAAACAGTAGTATGAATATGAACAGTGGTATGAATATAAACAGTAGTATGAATATGAACAGTGGTATGAATATGAACAGTTGTATGAATATGAACAATAATATGAATATAAACAGTAGTTGGAATATAAACACTAGTTTGAATATGAATATAAACAGTAGTTGGAATATAAACAGTAGTTTGAATATGAATATGAACAGTAGTTTGAATATTAACAGTAGTGCAAATGTAAAGAGTCGTGCAAATTGAATGAGCACATGAGCATGTGTTGAGTGTATAACCTCTTTTTTAATGATGCAGAGTTCAGTGTTAGAAAGTTTTTGTGTTGTGTGGAAATGTGTGAAAGTTTTGTGTCTTAAGGAGGTACAAGAGGGAGGGGAGGCAGAGCAGGCAGAGAGTTCAGCATCCTGACTGCCTGATGAACAGAGCTGTCTCGCAGTCTGCTGGTTCGAGCCTGGAGACTCCGCAGTCTCCTCCCTGATGGCAGCAGCCTGAAGAAGCTGTGTAGTGGGTGTGTGGGATCACCTGCCATGCAGAGGGCTTTCCGAGTGAGGCGGGTACTGTGTAAGTCATGTATTGAGGGGAAGGAGGTGCCGACGATCTTCTCGGCTGCTCTCACGATGCGCTGGAGTGTCTTGCGGCAGGATGCAGTACATGCACCGAACCACACCGTGATGCAGCTGGTTTGGACACTCTCTATGGCACCCCTGTAGAAGGTGCATATGATGGGGTTTGGAGCTCCAGCTCTTTTCAATTTGCGGAGAAAGTAGAGGCGCTGGTGAGCCTTCTTGGCCAGTGATGCAGTGTTTCTGCTCCATATCACTAGCAAACTGGTTGGTTTACTATCGAAGTGTGTTGCTTGTGGGACTGAGTTTGTTTGTGTGTGGCTCCTCGGATTGATGAAGTTCTTTGGATGAAAAATGAAATGTTTGAACAAAAAAATAAACGTTCAGATGACCTGACTGAATTTTGTTGGATTTGCTACCTGTGCTACTGAGCATGAACTTTGATGTTCTTAATAATCTATCGTCAGATTCAACCTAAAATGAAATCCTCCGAGTCTGTTTCCCATTTCAGTTTAAAGGAGTTCAAGCTGGTCTCATGGTATGAACAGAGCAGAGTACAGATCTTACTGAGGGCCCCCCTAGTATCAGACCTGCATTCCAAAATCTTAACCACAAAATATTTAGAAGGGTAAAAAGGAAAAAGAGTTAGACCTCAGAAAATGTCTCAACTACAAACATCTGAAAAGCTGTGACTTGTGGATGTTAAACTTCTGCACCAGCTGTTCAAAAAAGGCAAATTAATCAACATAGAGCTCATATAGTGATGTACTCCCCTCAAGATCTAGGTATCAAAAGCTGTATCAGCTAATGAGGGAGTAAATGTAGAATTATTTGACACAGGTGCCAGAAACAGTAACTCTGTGGCCCTCTTGAACTGATTCCATATATTAACCACCCAGATCACAATTGGGCTAGAAGTGTAGGTTGATACTGAAAGTTTAAAAGGCAGCCCAGAGCACAGTAATGCAGAAGGGGAGCTGGATCTAATTGAGGCCCTCTCCAAAGCCACCCAACCAGAATAGTAGAACTCTGATATTATCTGCCCAGTAATAGTGCATGACATTAAGAAGTGGCATGCCTCCAAGCCTGCAGGGCAGATGCAAGACCCTCTTGGCAATCCATGGATGCTTTTTATTCCAAATAAACACTGATAGCTTGTTGGTCATATTGGTAAAGAATGATTTAGTAAGATTGGCATATTCTGTAACAAGTATAGAAATTTAAGTAGGATATTCACTTTTACAGAGTTTATTCTACCCCCCATAGTGTGAGGTACGGATTGCCATCTAATAATGTCCTGCTTCAGGTTTGCCATGAGAAGTAGATAATTAGTTTTATAGAGGTTCTTTTGATGTCTCGTTACCCAATGCCAAGTTATTTATTTGTTTTTAAACTTGTTTTAAAAGTTACAGTGTCTAAGATTTTTTTCTATAGAGGTCACAGCTCACTTTATTGAAGATCTTATAGCCAGAAATTTTCCCAAATTTTTGAAGCAAAGTATGTAATTCAGGAATGCTGCAAGAGGGTCTAATTTATACAAAAGCATGTTATCCACATATAAAGAAAGTTTGTGTTCTGTACCTAATCGATTTATCCCGTTAATGATGGAGTTTTGCCATAAAGCTACAGCTAGTGGTTCTATCGCTAACGCAAATAGTGAGAGTGGGCACCCCGTCTCGTATCTTGTTGCAATTTGAAGTATCTGGAAATGTTACAGTTAGTGTGGACTGCCGCTCTTGGGGAGATAATAAATCAGCTTCACCCATTATATGAATTTGGGACCAAATTTAAATAGCTTTAATGTCTCAAAGAGATAACCCCACTCCACCTGGTCAAATGATTTCTCAGCGTCCAGTGAAAGAATGACTTCATCACAGGTGTGCTCAGGTGGACTAGGAGTGTACAACACACCAAGCAGCCATCTAACATTGATGAAAGCCTGATGGTTTTTAACAAACACTGTCTGGTCAGACAGGACAATTGTGGGGACCACCTGCTCAAGTCATTTTGCCAGGACCTTTCCAAAACTTTTTACATCACT